GAGAAAATATTTTAAAAACACATCGGAAAAAGGAATTCTATGCAAAATATACAAAAAAATCTAAAACTCAACAACTCAATTTAAAGGTAAAGATATGAACAGACACTTCATCAAAGAAGATATACAAATGGCAAACAAGCATGCAAAATAATGCTTAACACTGCTTATCATGGGGAAAAGCAAATTAAAATGACAATGAGATAGTACTAAATGGCTAAAATCATCTTTAAAATGCAACAGAAATTGCAACAGGAACTCTCATTCATTACTGGTGGAATACATAATGGTACAGCAACTCAGGAAGACAGTTTGGCAGTTTTTTCCAAAGCTGGACATGGTCTCATCATATAAGCCAGCAACTGCACTCCTAGATACTTAGACAACTGTTTTCAAAATTTACATTCAAATAAAAACCAACATGCACTTACGTACAGCTGCTTTCTTCATAATGACCAAATATTTTAAGAAGTCAGGATGACCTTCAATAGGTGAATGAATGACCAAGCTGGGGTCCATCCATGGAATGGAACACTATTCAGCAAGAGAAAGGAGTGATCTATGAAGCCGTGAAAAGACATAGAGGAATGTGTCATGCATATCGCTAAGTGAAAGAGAGATCACACACTGTATGATCTCATTTCTATGACATTGTGGAAAAGGAAAGACTACAGAGAGGGAAAACAGATCTGTGATTGACAGTAGGGGCCAGGGAATGAGTTAAATAGGGGAATAGGATGATGGACACGGACACAAATGGACCAGGTGGGCATGCACTCCTTCTGGTTGGTGAGATCATGCTGGTATTTGTGTGCTTATTGGCACTGGATTTTTCAATGATTTCTTGGATATGACAACGAATGCACAGAAAACAAGAGAGAAACAGAGAAATTGGAATTCATCAAAACTTAAAACTTTGTGCATCCAAGGACGCTATCAGGATAGTGAAAAGAAAAGCAACAGAATGGGAAAAAATATTTGCAAGTCATACATCTCATAAGGGTCTAGTATCCAGAATATATAAAGAACTCTTACGGACCGGGCACGGTGGCTCACGCCTGTAATCCTAGCTCTCTGGGAGGCCGAGGCGGGCGGATTGTTTGAGCTCAAGAGTTCGAGACCAGCCTGAGCAAGAGCGAGACCCCGTCTCTACTAAAATTAGAAAGAAATTAATTGGACAACTAAAAATATATAGAAAAAATTAGCCGGGCATGGTGGCACATGCCTGTAGTCCCAGCTACCCGAGAGGCTGAGGCAGAAGGATTGCTTGAGCCCAGGAGTTTGAGGTTGCTGTGAGCTAGGCGGACGCCACGGCACTCTAGCCCAGGCAACACAGTGAGACTCTGTCTCAAAAAAAAAAAAAAAAAGAACTCTTACGTCTCGACAACTAAAAGACAAACAAACCAATTTTTAAAGAAGACTTAAGGGGACTTTTCGCCAAAGAAGATACACAAATAGAAAACATGCTCAACATCACCAGCCATTAGGGAAATGCAAATCAAAACCACAATAAGACACCACCTCACACCCATTAGAATGGTTATTATTTAAAAAAACAAACAAACAGAAAAAAAAACCCAGACACTAACAATTATTAGCAATGAAGTGGAGAAATGTGAACACTGCTGATGGGAATGTAAAATGATGCAGCCAGTGTGGAAAATACTTAGGAGGTTCTACAAAAAGCTAAACATAGAATTACTGTAGGATCCAGGAATTGCACTCCTAGATGTACACACAAAAGGATTGAAAACAGGTATTCAAACAAAAACATGTACACTTATGTCATAGCAGCATCATTCACAATAACAAAAAGGTAGAAACAACCGAAATGTCCATCAACAGATGAATAGGAAAACAAGATCTAGTCTGCCCACACAATGGCATAATATTTGGCTGTGAAAAGGATTCAGGTGCTGATACTGCAACGTGGAGGAACCTCGAAAACATTGTGCTAAAAGAAAGAAGCCGAACACGAAAGGTCACACACTGAATGATTTCATTTATATAAAATATCCAGAATAGGTAAATCCATGGAGATAGAAAGCAGATTAGTGGTCGCCAGGGTCAGAGAGACGGCAGATTGCATAGCAGCTGCAAAATGACAGGAGATTTCCTTTTGTGGTGATGAAAATGTTTTGGAAGAGGTGATGGGTGCGCAATGTTGTGCATGTACTAAATGTCACTGAAGTATACATCTTAAGACAGTTAATTTTATATTAATTTTACCTCAATAAAAAGGAAAGTCCAATCCCCAGTGTTCCCTCACCAGGGTGAGCCCTCTCCCCACAGTGCTCCCTTGGCCTGAGTCCCTCCACCGTGCAGCGCTGCCTGGGCCCGGACCACATTCTGGACACACGCTCCAGCCACACTGCCCACCAGCTCCTAAATCCACTGGCCGTTTCAGCATCCCAAGTCCAGGTTACCTTCTCCCTGATGCCTTCACAGATGCCCAGTGACCAGCGATGCCTCCTCGGGGCTCACCAAGGAGGGTCTTCTGAACCCCGCCCTGCTGTAATGCAGACCTCGGCACGTGGTCTCTGAGGGTTGTCCAGTCTCAACAAGGAGAAGTCAGTGTGTCTCAGCGCCACTGTGTGCAGGTGTGCTGCTCAGGGGGACTCACAGCAACTCTGCTGGGTGTGGCCAGTCCCATGTGCAGGGGGGAAGGCGAGGTGCAGGTGGCTAAGTGACTCACCTGCAGTCACACGGCCTCTAGGTGGCTGCACACTCAGGTTCCGGCCTGGAGCTGGGTCTCCAGGTGCCACTCAGGAAAAGTTTGTGAGTCAAATGAACATGTCCAGGCCACACTGGAGAGGTGTCCCAGCTGTGGGGGTCACTTGTCTGATCGTGAGATGGCCCAAGTCCCATGTGAAGCCTCAGGGGCCACGCAGACACTGTTATAAATATACCAGCCCGAGGCGCCCCAGAGGTCGACTCCAGGAAGTGGATTCACGCAAGTATTTTTATACTCGGTTAGAGCTGAAGATGCTGCACCTTGCTTCCATCCACATCCCTCCTACTCTCTGGACGCTAAAGATACATTCTGGGGCCTGCCTGGCCCCCACTAACCAGGATCCGGTTTCACTGAGGCTCCCCACAAAACCTTGGGGGCCCTGCAGGCATGCAGGGCAAGAGGGATGTTTATCTGAGCCTTTGGGGCCTGGGGCTGCAAGCACTTCTTCCTGCCTAGGACACGGAACATGGGAGCCCCCAGGAGAGGGGCCCCAGATGGCTCAGTGCCCGGAGACCAGCCTCCATTTTATCCTACCTTCAAAATTTCAGCATCCCCAACCCCAGAGTGGTCCCATCCCAACCCTCTCTAGGCAGAGGATCCCAGCACCAGCCCCGAGCCGGCAGTCAGGCCCTGCTGTGATCTGCCTGGGACACCCAGGAAGGGGATGAGGTGCCCTGGGAGGGGCCGTGGCGCCTGGGCCAGCAGGGATGGATGCGGAGATCACTGGCAGAGGCAGGGACACTTATGAGTTGACTTGTGTCCCCCAAAATTATGTTGAAGTCCTAATCCCAGTACCTGCAAATGCGACCTTACATGGAAATAGGATCTTTGCAGACGACCAAGTTAAGATGAAGTTATTAGGGCCAGCCTTAAAACACTGATTGTGTCCTGACAAAAAGGGAAAATTTGGACACAGAAACACACAGGGAAGACTTGTAAAGATTGGAGCTTTATTGTCACAAGCCAAGAAACTACCAGAAGCTGGAGAGGGGCCTGGGACCCTCTCCCTAGCACCTTCGGAGGGAGCACAACCATGCGGACACGACTCCAGACTTCTGGACTCCACAGCTGTGAGACAGCAACTCTCTGCTGTTCTAAGGTTCCCGGTTTGTGGCATTTTGTTATGGCAGCCCTGGAACGCAAACACGGGCACGCTCTGCTCTGCCCACCACTCTCTCTTCGGAACACAGATGCCCATGAGAGGGTGAGAGCCCTTCACAGGCCACAGCCACCGCCGGCTGGTCATTGCCCGCGCTGACTGTCTGGGAGTCAGCGCTCAGCCTCCTGGGGGCCAGTGGGAGGACAAGGACGGGAGGGGCAGGAGGGGCAGCGTCCCTGCAGCCGTCCCTGAGCCTCCACCCTGCTGTGCCTTGAACCATCCACCTGCTATCCCTGGAGTGGTGCCTGGGCCTCCACCTGTGGTCGCTGGAGCCCAGAAAGCCCAGGGCTGGCCAAACCTCCAGCCCTCACACCTCCCCTGGTCCCTCACCAGCCACCAACACTTTGGAGTAGCCATCTGTCCCTTTTAATCTCAGTAGCAAAGGTGCCTCAGGAGGGCACAGAAAGAGGTCACACCGCCTGGTCATAGTGTCTCATGGGTGTCCACTGGGCCCAGGCTGGCCCTTTAAAGGGGTGAGAGCAGAACAGACTGTGGGCCTCTCTTCTCAGACAGGCCGGGGCAAAGCCAGAAAGTGGAGAGGGGCTGCCAGGCAGCTGCAGGCAGAGTGCTGAGGGCAGAGGCCCCTCCTCACAGGTGCCAGGCAGGGAGGGTGAGGAGAGACCTCCAGCCTCCATCCAGACGGGACCTCTGACCACTGCATGGTGCCCCTTCCTGGGAGGTCCAGGCTCAGCCAAGGTCGGCTGCAGAGACTTTAGTCCATTTTCCCCAAAATGGACAGGATGCAGCTGGCCGAGTCAGGGTTCTAGGATTTTCAGGACTGAGCCTACTCCCTGCCAAGGACAGGAGGGGGCACAATGCACTGGAGGTCCTCATGTAGCCCGTGCCTCTGACTGGGACCAGCTGCCACCTTGCCAGGCCTCCAGGTCCTCCTGGTCGCAGGAAAGGCCACAGGCCAAGGCTGGGACGGGCCCAGGGCTCTGGGTATTGCCTGGGAGGGCCCAGGGGTGGGGCCCCTCACAGCAGCCCAAGGCACAATAGTCGCCGCTGCTGCCCTCTGACTCTGGGGGTGCTGGCCTGGTGGGGGACACGTGGGTCCAGTCATCCTGCGGCAGGTAGGCAGGTGGCTGTCCCCCCCACTCCGTACACCCTGCTGGTAGCACATCCTGGCAACTCTGGGCCCCCAGGGTCCCAGTGCCCTCCTCCTCCTCCTCCATGCCCGCGGATTGCAGGCCAAAGGTAAGCAGCGCAAAGGCCTCCGGGACACCAGACTCCGAGGCTCCTTGTGGGGTGCTGTCCTGGCTCCGCTGCACACTGGCTCTGTGGGTCCCCGTCCAGGTCTGGAACAGAGCAGCAGAGGACGGAAGGGCTCAGGGAGCGTGTTCAAGACTCACACTGGGAGCAGCAGCCTCCTCCCCAGTAGGCCCAGCCTCCCCCTCCTCCAGGAAGCCCTTCTGACATCCGTTCCCAGAGGCCAACTAGCACCTGTGTCCAGAACATTCCGTCTTCTCCCCATGTGCCAGCCTAGCCTCAACATGGGACCAAGTCCCTTCAGGCCCCACACCACTTCCCCAGAGTAAGGCCTGGTGCTCACAGCAGCCTGAACCAGGGCACAGGTGGTGACAGGTACCAAGGACAAAGCAACCCCTGGCAGCATGCTGTCCCAGGGCTTCTAGCAGCTACAGACACTGGGCACCCCACCCCATGCCCTACCCACTCACACACACACACACACACACACACACACACACGCAAGACAGCAGACACTGTCGGGACTGGCAGTTTTCAAAGGCTGGGCTAAGGCCGGCAGACCTGGATCCTTCTGTGAGGCCGCAGGAGGCTACCACCTCTAGAAGGAAGCTGTTGCCTTGGTAGGACCAGGAGCCTCCAACAAATGCACCAAACACACCACACCCCCATCACCGTGCTGCTCCCTGGAAAACCACCCCCTGGCACCAGACTACCACAAGGGGATCCACATAGCCCTGGCAAGTACCCACGTTCTGGGGAGAAGCACCGGTGCCTGCAACGGGAGGACACAGTCCAGGGGCCAATCACAACCTCTGCCCAGAGCGCTTGAGAGTCACATCCGCTGCCCTGGGGACAGAGGCAGACTCTCTCAAGAACCAAGTGCTGAGTGTTAAGCTTGAAATCATATTTTTGGACTAAAATCTTGAAAACTAGGCTCCCCATGAGAGAGAAAAGGATTTTTCTGCACAGTAAGCTGGAGCCATGACAGGAAGGAGACGTCCCTGCCCCACAGATTCCAGGGAGGTGCTGAGACTCTGGGGAGGAAGGAGGCAGCTTGGCCCAGACCCTGGGGAGGGGCCAGCACTACCTCCTGTCCTTTGCCCAAAGTGTGGAGCCTGAGAGGGGAAACCAGAGACCACCCACTCGAGCTCTCCTTTCCACTTCCTCCTACCCCGGGGGCATGAACTGCCAGCCCAGTGCGGAGAGAAGGGGTCTGCACAGACCCTCTGAGTTGCTCACGCTGGCCCATGGCCTGTGGGAGCCCAGCAGGGTCCACAAATTGGGAAATGTAGAGTCCACTTACAGGCCACGGTGCCAGCGTGCTCTGCAGGGGACCAGAAGGGGCTCGGCATGCCACACAGGCCACCAGAGCAGGAGCCCAGGGGCCAGCGGGAGCCCCAAGGGCAGCACAGACACTAGAAGAGACCCTTCCCCATGGCCACAGGACACAGACACCTTTGCAGAAGGAGGAGGTGAGACAGGGGGTGGGTGCAGACAACAGCCCCACGGTTTGTACCTTGAACTAGCAATTTACCTCAGCTGCGAACAAGAGGGAACAGACAAAAGTCAAGAGAAAGCTATGTTTTTTTCTATCAACAATGAAACTCTAGATAAGAGAACAAAAATAAATCAGCAATGGAAAATAAAGCTAATTTTTTTGCCCATTTGAGACACAACATATAAATTTAAACCCATTATGTATACAAAAAAGGCTCAAAGCACTGACAAGCTCCCCACACTTGCCCCCAACCCTCACCAAAGCCAACATTCTGTGCGGGCCACAACTTTGGGCAACACCTGCCCCCAGGCCCTACAGTTGCCATGGTACCCCACACACCTGGAAGTTCCCGTTATGCACGCTGTACAGGGGCTGGAAAAACACAGCTGGAGAAGGCACGTTCTGGTAGAAGGTTCTCTTCATCCTGAGGCCAGGAGAGGACAGTCAGAGGCCCGACTCCAGAAAGCCTGAGGCCACTGCAGGAAACGGAGCTCCCTTCCACCCAGCAGATGGCCCGCCCGCCCCATCCCTGCCACTGCCTCTCTCCCCTCTCGCTGCACCCAAACCTGCTCTCAGGGCAGGAGACCCAACTTGGCATCCTCCCTGGCTAACGGCCCCACAGGACTGATTCGTACCAATGCACGTGGGCTTTAGAGCGTGAGCTGTGACGGTCGGTGCAGGGGCGAGCAGTGGCTGGCAGGATCCTCAGCCAGCAGCGGGAGCCAGCACCTCCGGGAACCGTTTTTGCCATCAACAGGTTTGCAGCTCCCACCCCACTTGACGTCTCCCTGAGCACCAGACCTGCCTGCCCAAAACCCACTGGTCTTCCCACGCGGGTGTCCCACAGGGCTCCAAGCCAGCAGGTCCAAATCGATCTCATGAACCCCCCACCTCAGGGCTCACCACTCACATCCCATCCACCCACATGTCCCACAGTTTCTCCTAACCCCTGGCAGTTCCCTCCACTGTGCTCCATCTGCACTCCTCTCACGGGCCCAAGCCCAGTCATCTCTCCACGGGTAACCCACGAGTGCCCACTGGCCTCCCAGCAGTGCCCCACGTCCCCTCATACCCGGCAATCCTTTCTCAAACAAGCCAGATCACATCACGCAGTTTCACACCCTTCAGTGCTTTCCTTTGCTCCAAGGAGAAGCCAGACACCCTTCTGCCTGGCCCCACCCAGCACCCTTCTCCCCACGCCCTCCTCCTGGCACCCTCTCCACCACCTGGCATGGTGCCTGTGCTCCCTCTCATAATCTGACATGTGGCACATGGGGCAGGATGGCTGACCTGATCTGTCTTGTTTTCTACGGCATCCGCCAGGCCTGAGAATGGGGTCCTGTACACACCAGATGCCCCAAACTGCATTTTCACAGAATGAGTAGACTAATGAGCAAACCAGCAAACACCTCCAGAGGCAGGACACAAGGACCTTAGGCCTTTTGGTCTTGGTGACTCTGGGTCTGGTTGGGGCCAAGCTCATCTTTGACCTCTGCCACAAACACCCCTTCCCTTGTCTCCCCTGGCAAGCCCCCAATGGCCCCAGGTGGAAACTTGAAAAGCCCACCCGATTCGGGACCAGAAAGTAGCAAGGGGAGGGGAAGAACAGTGGGGTTGGCCCTTGGTGCCCCTCCCCCACACCCTCACCGTGCACACACTAATGCACTCACACACATACACTAACACATGTGTGCGCGCACACACACACACACACACACACACACACACATACGTTGGCTACCTACCTGGGTGACAGCTTGAACAGGAGGTAGGTCAGGCCGGTCAGCAGGAGAAAGATGGACACAGCAACAAGGGTGCTGTCTGGCCGGCCCCAGGGTGGGATCAGGGGGCCTGCGGGCAGGAAGGGCAGAGGACTGTGAGCAGCCTCAGAGCCAGGAGGCTCTCCCCAAACCTACGTGACAAAGGGGCCTCCATTAGTGCCCTGGGCCAAAGTGAAGACTCTGTGAGGGGTTGGAGGTCTGTGTCACGCCCGCTGAAGTGCCCTGGGTGGTTCAGATCCCTGGCCTCACCCTTCTCGCCTGCCATAAGCCAGTTGTGACGTCTGTGAGCCTTCCCAGTAATGCTGTGCACAGGGTCAGCCGGTCCTCACTGAGGACACAGAGCTCACATCTAGCCTCCGGGCAGATGCAGCGGCTCCGGTGTGCAGCCCTGGGCCACTCTCGCTCCTAATCACAGCCACTGACTATGGGTGCCTGGGAAACCTGCAGGGTGGCAGGTGTTCGTTTCCTCCTTGCACATCTCAGCTCTCCAGGGAAAGGGGGCCGACCAGGGCATGACGGGCTCAGGAGGGGCTCCAGGAGGGTGAGAGGGCCAGGGCTCGGATGAGCAGGGAGAGGAGGCCCAGCCCAGACCCTGGGAGCACCGCAGCCGTGCCCACCTCGTCTCTGTGGGGAGGGGAAGAGCACAGGCTGGCTCCACTCGCTCCACTGGCCCGCATAATGCTCCCCCTCTGCCACGTCATCCTCCAGGTTGGCCATCTGGACACGGAGCCTGGCCTCGTAAGTGAAACCAGGGTCCAACTCGGTGGCTTCAAGGATGAGCCAGGTCACCCCAACAATGCGGTCCTTGTGCCTGGCCCACTGTGGGGTTGGGGACAGTTAGCAGGTGCTGAGGGTGGGGCTGGGTCCCTCAGCCCCTGGGAATGTGCACACGCAGGTACATTTATACAGACCCATGTGACACGCACAGAGACACACCTGTGCTCAAGCACAAACACACCTACACACAGTCGCGCATCTGCAGCACGCTTCCACACTTGCACGCACACCCATACACCTGCGTGTGCAGAGGCACACTCCCCACAGTCACATACACATTCACGCACATAGGCATACCCATGTGCACACACACATATAAACGAAAGGCACAGGCACACTCAGGTACACTTACATGCAAACATATCTGTGTGCACACACACATGAACACGCGTGTGCACATGCACACTCGCCACATTCACATTCACTCACGCATAAAGACACAGATATACTCAAACTCACCCTAGTCTCACACACACACACTCACACATAAGCACACACATGCATACAAAGATGTGCACATCCGTGCGCACATCCAGCTCTGGTCTCTCCCCCCGCTTCACCATTCCAAGCTGACGCCTCCCTGTGAGAGTGGGGAGTCTGCCCCGGGCTGCCGCTCCCAGGAGAGAGGCCCTGGGGAAGCCAGCCAAAGCGTTACCTCCCAGGCCTCTTCCTGCCTCTTGAAGGCCAGCTCGTAGCTGAGAAGTGTGGTCATCGGCTCCAAGGCAGGACTGATGCTCCAGGTCAGGACACAGTAGCCAGAGCTGACGTTGCTCTGCAAGTCAGAGGGAGGGTCCAGCTTAACTGGAACAGAGTGAGGCCATGTGAGGCCAAAGCCCCATGGGCCTGGGTGTGCCGCTCAACACACCCAGGACTGGGGTCTGACTCATAGGGGCAAGGTCAAGGCCCTCTCAGATCAAGTGCCTCCCTGGGAAACTGGTCCAGAAAAGCCCCCAGTGGAACAAGACAGCAATGACCTCTTCCAGGCCCCACAGCTAGACAAGGTGGTTTCCAAATCTCGCCTTCCCTTTCCTTCACAATTTGCTGCTGGAAGTTCTTCCCAGCATCTTATTGGAGTCCTTCCTGCTATGACTACAGTGCATTTCCATGACTCAAACTGTAGTACCTGCCCTGGCTCGCAGCCCTGTAGCTCTGTCCTCTGCCAAAATCCTGCCCCTGCAGTAGAGGAGCAGCACAGGGGCCAGTGGAGCAAATGGAGCCAACCTGTGCGCTTCCCCTGCCCCCAGAGACAAGGTGGGCGCTGCCACAGGGCTTCTGGGTCTGGGCTGGGCCTCCTCTCCCCTGCTCACCCGAGCCCTCTGCCCTCTCACCCTTGCAGCCACCCTCCCCCCACCAGGGGCCTGGCCTGCTTCTAGCCCCGGGCCTCACTTGGCAGGGACTCAGGACTTCACCGGGCCACAGGGTCACAGGCTGCAGGGCCCTGCCCAAGCCCTCAGGCAGCCAGGACGTTCCTGCCAAGGCTTCCGCTCTAGGCCTGCAGCCACCCCCGCTCACCATGTCTCCGGGGCAGGTACTGAGGGTCCACCAGGCTGACCAGCTCCTTCCCGGAGACCCGGTGGTGGAAAGTGATGGTGAAGTTGTCGGAGGGCACGAGCACATCCTCGGGTGGCAGCACCACCGTGCACGCATTGCCCTGGAAGGCGCACTTGTGGGTGCTGCCAGGCGCCTGGTTGCTGGAAAGGGGGGTATCAGCACCAGGGACTGCTGTGCCATCCCGGCCACAGCTGCTGCTGTCGTGGGGGCCCCACCCTCATCCTTGTCCCACGCCTGGGGGCCTGGCCCTCCACCCTCACCTGGTGAAGAGGAGCCAAGGGCTGGAGCCCTGGCCCAGCTCTGCGGCAGACCAGTGGCAGTCGATCCTGAGGATGTTGTTGGTGAGGCAGGTGAACGTTCCAGCTCTTGGCCCTGGGGACAGTGACCGTTGGGAGCCCACAGTGGGTTCTTCAGGGAAGAGCTGAGTCGGGGTTGGGGGAGGATTTGACAGCTGGCATCCGAACAGGGTAGTCGCCAGAGAACAATCCCAGGAGAATTCTTTAAGGGCAGAGCTGGGAGGCCTAGCAGTGATGGGCTCCAACCCACAGTCCGTGGACAAGTCAGGCCCAGAGACGCGTCAAGAGGGTGAGGCTGGGGAGACTGGGGGTGGTGGGGCTGAGGTCCAGCCTGGCCCCTGAAGGACATGGCCAGCACAGTTTGGGCTAAAAACCTTTCCCAGGGGCTCGACAGAGGGCAGGCCTGTCCCCCAGCCATGCCCTAGTTCTCCACCCACCTGCCACAGGCATGGTGCCCAGCCCTCACCTGCTCCTTGCCCTGGGACAGAGGCTCCCAAGCAGACACAGGTGCAGATGCAGGTGCAAGTCAGGAGCCAGGTGCCCACGTCTCGCCTCAGGGCCTCACTCTCCCACATCCAACCTGCAAGGGACCAGGCTAAGGGGCCTGGGGTAGGCGCCCCCCGCCCCCCGGAGGGAAATCCCCACGAGGAGCTCCACAGCGGAGTGCTCTGAGTGGGTCAGCACCTAGACCCTCACTGTGTCCTGTGAAACAGGCTGTGCCCTGCTGCCCGGCCCTTACGAATAAGAAACTGAAGCTCAGAAAGGTCACCAAAGACTCATGGGCTGCAGTGTGAGATGCACCCTTCAACTCAGCTCTCCTGGTGGGTCCTGCGCTGAGCTAGGTCTCACTGGCTGCCTAGAAGGCTCCGCTCAGGGACCGGCATCCTCTTCCAGCCCATCCTCTGTCCCTGGACCCCGGCTCCATCCTGCAGGGGAGTCAGGGCCGGGGGAATGGGTCACTACCAACAACTGCCACAAGTAACTAACAGTTACTGAGCTCTTTGGTGCTACACCCTGTGCTGATTGCGTAACTTGTATTTTCTACTTTAATTCTCACAACAGGTCTGTGACGGGGAAAGACTGTCCCTATCCACAAACAAAGACGCTGAGTCCCAAGAAGCAGAAGCCCTTTGCCCAGGGTCATACAGCTAACCCCTAGGCATTCTCTCTCCCTTTGTCTCCTTAAATAAAGACCCATCCCAGGGTTCTGCCCCAGGAAAGTGGACAAGGATGGCAGTAGGGTGTCCATGTAACAGACGGCGCTTCCCAAACTCTGTCACAGCCCTGTTCTGAGGGGACCTGCAAAGGAGACTGCCCCGGGAAGGGCAAGGCTCTTGGTTGCTGGAGTCCTGAGCCCCAGGATCCCTGGGGGCACCAGAGGTCGGCTGGAGATGAGGGGCTGTGTGTCAGGAAGTGCCGGGGTGTGGGAGGCTGCTGACGCCCCATCACCCCATTTGCAGCTCCAGATGGCACACTGATAGCCCCTGAGCAGGAAGCAGGGCCAGCCTGATTATGTAAGACCGATGAGCGATAAGGAGGAGAAGAGGAGCAGACATGCACACAGACCACGGCACGCACACCCTCCACGGGCAGCAGGCACCACTCCAACCCACCCCCCCCCGACTCCTGGCAGCCTATCCCGTATCGTAGAACAGACCCGCTCAGACCAATGATCAAGAAGACCTCATCCTTCGCTAGGATGGAGTGCCAGGCTTGGCACCACCAGCCGCAGCAGGAAGACCAGCTGGTTCTCTGCAGCAGTGTCTGTCCCCTCTTGTAGCAGTTACTGGAAAGGAGGGGATGGGGACGACAGGGAAGCAGCCTGAGCAGTCAGCCTACTCTCTGGGTGTGAGAGGGCAGAGCAAGGCCGAGCCCCAGCACCTGGGGGAAGTTCCTGACTGAGGGTGGACAGCCACTGCCCCGGGGGTGGAGGGACATCCAGCTCTGTGCAGAATTAGGCCAGCCCACCCACAAGCTGACCCAGGGGGAGGTGGCTAGAGAGTAGGGGGTAGGGTGGCCCCAGGCTCAGCAGGCCCAGTTGCTAGAACACGGGTGGGAGAGGTAGGGCAGGACCCTCACGTGACACCTGAGAGCTGCAAAGCAAGAAGCCAGGACACACCCTGGGGAAGCACCAGAGAGCTGGGCACAGCCACAGCCAATGTGACCGTCTGGGGGAAGGTCCCTGCTTTTCCTCTGCACAGAAAACTTCCATCTAGACCTGGTAAGCTAGGCAGGGCAGGGTCACCACCCTCCTACAGACAAGGAAACTGAGGTCCAGAGAGACCTGGGACTTGCCCAATACCTGGCCACCGGCACCTGATGCTCTGTTCTTGGCATATGTCCCCCCAACTTCCACACAAGCCTGTGAGATTCTGGGGAGCAATGCCTGGGAGATGTCCCTCAGCACATACCCCCACAGAAGACTTCACAAATGCTTTATAAATAGGGTGAAGCTGCGAATCCAAGCTCCCCCTCCCCCAGAGCATCACTGCCCTCTCTCTTTCTGGGGCTCCTCAGGCATGAGATGGGACATTACTGAGACGGGGTCACTCCTACCCTCAACCACAGACACCAGGCAAGGTGGTCAAGGCAGGTGCAGACACACCCACCACATGCTTCCTCGGCCTGGATGGCACCAGGGAGGCCTGACCACAGCTCAGACAATGCCAGGTCACAGGATGGTCGTGAGGACAGGAGAAGCCAGTGACTGCCACCTAGGACAGTACTGCCCCGACACCCCCAGTCCTGCTGGGGAGCCTGGCTGACATCACTCCCAGCACAGCCTCTCCCCTCTTGGGTCTGTGGACACAGCCCTCAGTCTGTGTCGCTCTGGTCCCATCTCAGAGCCCCACCTCTGAGTTGAGGTCTGGCCCAGATGGCCACTGGGCCCCACAGCCTGCTCGCCCTCGTTTCCTTGGCTGCCATGAAGTTGTGGGCTGCCCTGCAGCCGGATCCCTGCCTCAGACCTCGGGCTCTACCAGATCCACAGGATGATCTCCAGACAGGCTCAGCCCCTCACCTTCCCTGGCCCTCGTGCCGAGCACCCACCTGAGGCCAGGTGGAATCTCAGGCCGAAGTAGGCCACCGTCACGGGGCCTGGCCAGGCAACCCCAGGCTCCTCGGTGCCCCGGCGCACTCTCCGAGTGAGTTTCACAGGTCGCTGCATCTACTTGCTGCAACCAACAGCCTATTGCATACATTTTAATGGCCGGGAGGGGATGAGACCCCCGTTCTTTTCCTGGCCTACCCAGGAAGCTGGGAAATGTAGAGGTGGATGGGATGGAGGTTGCTATTTAAATGAACACTTATCCAGCACTGTCTTCCATCTGCTGGGGGAGGATGAAGAAATGCAGGCCCGGGTTCACGAGAAGCAGGTGGAGCCTGGGGGCCACGGAGGCTGTGCCAGGCAATGGGGCTGGAAATCGGAGGAGCCGGCTCCCACTCTGGGCCACCCAGGACACACAGGTCTCCTCTGGCACCTATGGGAAGCCCTGATGCCACGGGGCACAGAGTGTGTGAGGACACCGATGGCGCAAGCAGGGAGCAGGAGGGATGGAGGCAGGAGGGATGGAGGCAAGAGGGCCAGCGGGGGCGAGTGCAGAGACCACAGAGGAACAGGACAAACGGCACTCACAGAGAAGGTGCAGAGAAGGCAGGAGGAGGGAGGTGACACTTTCTGAGAAGGAGAAGGGGGTGGTGCTGCCAGTGGCGCAGAGGTATCACGGACAAAGGCACAGACCCAAGGGAGAGGGCAAAGGAGCATAGAGAGACATGGGGGGCACCGTCCCCTCTGCCTGGCTTCCTTCCCCATTACATGCCTCTTCCTTCATAAAGCCCTCCCCCAGCACCCCCATTCTCCCTTCCCAGCCGGATGGCACCTCTGAGCCAGGACCAGCCCGCTGGTGTTCTGCATAGCCCTGAATCGGCAGGTCCAAGGGTTGGGCAGGGACCATGGGCCAGGGTTAGGGCTAGGGTGTTGACACAGCTTTCTTTGGGGCTCTGGCAGTTAGACGGGGGGGAACGCTGCCCCTATTCTTCCTGCTGTCTTGGTGAGGAGACACCTACGTGTTGCGCCTTCTGCCTGGCACTGCCCCCCACCAGCCCGTGCAGCCCTACTGCCGTCCAAACTCGTCACTAAGCTGGGTCCCTACGTGGGTGGGGCTCCTTGAAGGTGAGAACCCGTCTGATTGACCACGCGTCCTGTGCACCCAGGCCTGACTGCTCAACACAAGCTTCCCAAACCTCCCACAGAGGCCGTTCCTGCCTCCCCTCGGCGTTCATGCTCTGGGCATGCGGGAGGGGCTCTGGGATACCATCCGAAGACGCACTGGGAGGACACCCACTTTTGACTCCGTGGCTAAGCTCTGGCCAGAGGGTGAAGTCAGAACAGCGTGAGTCAGAGGAAGAGCACAGGGGTCAGGGAGAGGAGAGGATCCCAGCAGGGCCCACATCCTCAAGCTCGTCACAGGAACAGACTGGTCCAGACCCCAGGAAACTGAAAGGGCGATGTTCGTTCCGTAACAAACCCTGTCCTCTCCTTCCGCCAGGTGGCCGAGTCGAACCTCCTTCTGGCATCTCACCTCGCCTGCTGCCCCTCCCACCTGCCTCCAGTAGGGCACCTTCATCCTCCCAGCTCCTCTTCTGCCCTGAAGCTCCACAAATGCCTGGGGATTTGGAGGGGCTTTACCAACTCCGGGACCCAGGCCTCAGCTCCACCTCATGGCCACCACAGCGGCCTCCATCTAGCCCAAGAGTGCCCACTCCAGTCCCCACCAAGGTCAGTTCAGTCACCAAGGAAGGAAAGTTTCTCCTGTAATTAGAAATTGCACCTGACAAGCTCGTGCCCTGCCTTCTATCCAGTTGGAATGTGGACACACTGGTCACAGCGGCATCCCCAACCCCACAGGCCTGGAAATACATTTGTAATTCTTATGGTCAGCCCTGCAAATTTTGCCATCTCTGAGAGATGCCCAAGGCCAGGACACCAGAAGAGGGAGACTAGGGTGGTGCCCTCAAATGCCACACTGCCACGGCTGTTCCCTGGGCCTAGGGACAGAGGGCCACTCGTCCCGCTCTGCCTCCTGAAGTTCATGCTGACTTAAGAGGTTGGAAAGCCCCAAGTACAGACTCACCTTCCCAGATGGATCTGCCCAGTCCCATCACAAGTCTCAGGCACCCCCAACCTGGAGGTGACTTGTCACCCAGCTGTCCCTGGGTGTGCAGCAAAGCCCCTCCGCCTGATTCAGGAGATAAGTGCAGCGAGTGGTGACGTGAGCTTTGCACAGCAGGCTCCCACAGGCCGCCCACATCTGAAACCACGAGCACACTGCAGAGCTGCTGTCCCAAGTACAGCTGAGAGGTGACTGTCACCGCTTGTCATCTAAGTCAGGGAATTGTGAGGTGGAACACCCTTTCATTCCCCACAACACTCAGGGTTGCCAAATGTGAACTTCAGTGATTTGTCTCTTGCCTGGCAAACGAGCCTCCTCTGTGTTCCTCCCAAGAAACACCACTGAGGTGCATTCGACCAGCCCCAGGAGGCGAGGACCCTGCACGGAGCAGTGGCCTCGTTCCCTTCTACACTTTCCCAAGACCAGAGGTGCAGGCTCAGCTGTCAGCCTTGCAGCCTTCTTGTTCCTCCAGCTATTTGCAACATCTCTCTAGGTCAGGACATAAAAACCTACCTCATGCCTTTAATGGTAGTACATGCCAAGGTTTAATAATCCCTGCAATGCACATTTGGATTGTTGCCTGTACTCACTATTTTAAATGAAGGTAGTGAACAGATCTGGGTATGGATCTTCAACCAACAGAATGAGCACTTCTGTAGAAAAATCACTTGGGTAGAATTGTGGGGTCTCAGGGTTACCATTTTAAAATGCTGATACACCAGTGCCTGCCTAGCTCAGTTGGTAGAGCATGAGATTCTTAAAAATACTGATGGAGATTTGGCCTGGTGGCTCACACTGTAATCCCAGCACTTTGGGAGGCCGAGGCGGGAGGATCAGTAGACACCAGGAGTGCAAGACCAGCCTGTGAAACACAGTGAGACCCCGTCTCTAGAAAAAGTAGAAAAATTAGCCAGGCACGGTGGTGGCACCTATAGCCCCAACTACTCGGGAGGCTGAGGCAGGAGGATCACTTAAGCCCAGGAGTTAGAGGTGCAGTGAGCTATGATGACAACACTGCACTCAAGCCTGAGCAACAGAGCAAGACCCTCCCTATCTCTAAGTAAATAAATAAATACTGATAGATACTGCCAAGTGGCCCAACAAAGATTTTGCACAAACTTCTACTCTCACCAACAGTAAACATTATCAGTCTCTAATCTTTGCCAATAGGATACGCAAAGATATTTCAGTTTTGTTTCAATTTGCACTTCCTTGATTATTAGTCAAGATAAGCATATCTTCACAAATTTACTGACTATATTCTTTTGGGTCCCAAATAAGGTCATATTTCAGTGTGTGTTTGTGTGTGTGCGTGTGTTTATATGTGTGTTTATGTGTTTCCAAGTGCACACGTGTGTTCCTGTGTGTATAGTGTGCATCACAACCTCTTTTATAAGGTCTGGGTAAGACTGCAGCTCTCTGGAGTCTGAGAACACCAGGACCCATGAAGAGATGGAATCACAGGCTCACACCCATGAAACACCATAGCAATGACTAGGGACACATTAAATTTCGTCCAAATATTTAAATTTTAATCAGCTGCGTTCCCATCTTACCTACTACGAGCATACACTTTACACTCACTGGAGCCATCCCTTCTTCGGTATCCTGACAAAGAGCTTCCTTCTTTCTGTTAAGGTCCCTTCCACCTTGCTGCAGCCAGATTTTACTAACTTAAGACCAGCACACCACACTACCCACACCCTAACCTCAGAAGCAGAGACCGCAAGGGCTGTATAAGGAGGAAGGAAATCCTGGAAAGAAAAAAGCTAGAGAGGAGAGCCCCAAGTTCTGCATCTAAACTCCACCCAAACCTCTGGATGACCCCTGAACTACACATGTGCAGGCCAACTCCAAGCGGCCCTGCTGAGGCTAAACAACATGAACACAAGGTTCAGCTGCTGTCCACCTCAGAAAAGAGTTTGCAGCCTGCTAAAACAACAACAAAAACAAAACAAACTAACATTCTCCAGAGAAACAACAGAATCCATGGTCTCCATAACACATATAATTCACAATTTCCAAGATAAATACAAAATTATTAGACGTATGAAGAAACAACTCTGTGACCCATAGGAAAGACAATCAGTGGAGACTGACTCTCCTAGGACCAAGTTGCTGGAAACAGCAAAGGTGTCAAACCTTGCTCAAACACATCAAGGAAGATATGCTCCCGATGAACAGATAGGAAATCTCAGAGGAGAAACAGAAACCATAAAAAAGAACCTAAAAGAAAATAAGTGAAAAACACATCTTAAATAAAAGGAATAAATCATAATAGTGCATAACACCAGATGAAAAATTAACCATAAGGAACAACTCAAAGAAGGCAACTGAGATTTGACTGGGTTGACAGGAAATCACATCCTCAAACACACGCAGCGGAAAATGTCCGCGAGAGCTGGCACAGGGCCCTTCCTGGGGAAGAGGAGGGAGAGAGATGGAGCCCTGGATCAGCACCAGGGTTACGGCCCTAAATGTAGGGCAGTCATGCCTCTCCTGCTTGACTTTATACCAGTTTAACATCAGTAACATACAAAAATTCTGCTCCTGAAGTTCCATCCCTTTCAGTTATTGATCCCCTGGAAGATGCTGCAGCTGGAAAGCAGAGCACTTGAAATGTGGGGAGACGTGCCCACCTGCGTGTCTGCACCTGCAACATCGGAAGCAGCAATCAGAACACAGATCCCCAATTTTTTGGAAGACAGGGCCCTCATTGCTCACCCTGACTTCCACCAGATGTCAGTAAGCTGTGCCGGGAACACATGCACAGCTGCTAGGAGCTGAAGTTGGCTGATACTAACCTCAGCTTACCAGGGTTTACCATCCAAGGCTTCCCTTGGAGATTGCAAGCTTTGGAATAGCCTTGAGAGTTCCAGAACAGTCACGTCAGACAGATTCTGCCAGTGCGATTGTTATCTAAGTGGAAAGACAGTTTCCTGGTGCTTCCTCCCTCACCATCTTCCCAGAATCCTGTGTCCACAAAGTTGTTTTTTCTTTTTTTGAGACAGAGTCTCACTCTGTTGCCCAGGCTAGAGTGCCGTGGCTTCAGCCTAGCTCACAGCAACCTCAAACTCCTGGGCTCAAGCGATCCTAGCCCCCCCAGTAGCTGGGACTACAGGTATGTGCCACCATACCCGGCTAATTTTTTCTATATATATATTTTTAGTTGTCCAGATAATTTCTTTCTGTTTTTAGTAGAGACGGAGTCTCACTCTTGCTCAGGCTGGTCTCGAACTCCTGACCTTGAGCGATCCACCCGCCTCGGCCTCCCAGAGTGCTAGGATTACAGGCGTGAGCCACTGCGCCTGGCCCACAAAGTTGTTTTTTGTTTTTTCTTTTAGAGATGGGGTCTCACTGTTGCCTAGGCCGGAGAGCAGTGGCACAATCACAGCTCACTTCAACCTCAAACTCCTGGGCTCAAGTGATCCCCCCGCCTCATCCTCCCAAGTAGCTGGAACTACAGGCGCCACCACACCCGACTTTCTGTGTCCATAAAGTTTTATTGAAACGCCATGCTCATTTAGGTACTGTATACAGCTGCTTTGCACTATAGCTGTGACAGCACTTTGCCCTGCTACTTGGCTCGCTGCAAGTCACTGTTGCGGTTGTAACCCAGCACATTTCAAGGACCGCTGTATTGTCATATCACTGTAATGTGTTTTTTTGCTTATTACCAGTGCAATCTGGATGTCATGTTCTTAAGACACAGTGGAGTGTGGAGTGTTATCAAATTGGATGGCAAAAGATTGTTTATTTTGCAATGACACTATAGCTGATTGACGTTACCAGACTAAGCAATCATCACTAGAACTATTCTCAATATACAACAGAATTTCTTAACAAAAATTAAAAATGAAAATGAGGCTGCAATCAAATTAAGTATCCAAGTGGCTCATTTGTTAGCCAAGCAAAAAGAAAGCCATTTACTGATGGTGACTGAACAAATCATGTTAGCTGGCTGTGGTGGCTCATGTCACACACACTTCAGCTCAAGTAGTGTGTCCAGAGAAAATAAATTGGCTTAAGACTGTCAGCCTTTTGGGTGAAAACAGTTGTCCTGAGGGTTAAGCATGTTGGGAGGAACATCAACACTCGGTTAAAAACCAAAGCAAATGCTTCAAAGTAGTTTTCCTCGGCTCTTGGTGAACTGACGGATGTTACTGCTCAGTTGTTGGTTATTTGAGGAGTCAGCGCCTCAGTGCCGAGCTGAGAAGCAACTAAAGAATTAGCCTCTTGGCCGGGTGCGGTGGCTCACGCCTGTAATCCAGCATTCTAGGAGGCCAAGGCAGGAGGATCGCTTGAGGTCAGGAGTTCGAGACCAGCCTGAGCAAGAGCAAGACCCTGTTTCTACTAAAAATAGAAAAAATTAGCCAGGCATGGTGGTACACGCCTGTAGTCCCAGCTACTCGGGAGGCTGAGGCAGGAGGATCGGTTGAGCCCAGGAGTTTGAGGTTGCTGTGAGCTAGGCTGACTCCACAGCACTCGCCTGGGCAACAGTGAGACTCTGTCTCAAAGAAAAAAAAAAAAAAAGAGTGTTGGTTGGTGGTAAGCGAATGTCACCTGCCCGATAAATGTAAAAGATGAATGCACAGGACCTTCAACAGAGAATACTTAGTTATAAGTCTCCTCCCCACACATAAAAACTCCCTGGACATTAATAACTTCAACTACTATGACAGGCAAATGGGCTACTTTTCTTGACACCCTGGCCCTTCACCCCGAAAGGGTTAGTTTTCTGCCATACCAGCAAAAACACACAATTCATAATCCCAGCTGAGAATCCACCCTGGGGGACAAGGTAAGCAGACACTCAGGCAGCTGGGCCACCCTGGCCCTAGTCCCTCCAGCGGTGTCCACACTGAGCATTGCAGCACTTGTAGAAGGTGGTCATTGGCTCGTCTGCAGAGCGGGTCTGAAGTTGCATGAAGTAAGCACGAGGATGTTCGCATTTGGGACATGGCTCTGGCAATGAGAAAAACCAACAAGTGATCCACATTATACGAAAGTGATGCTCATGACAAAGACACTTGTTAAGAGTAGCTATTACCTTGTACCTTTAAAGATGGCAAAAACCCTACCTGCTCATCTGCTCTCCCTTGCCAAGGGCAAATCTAAAAATGGTGACATCATCCCCACTATGCTCTCACACTGAGGGAACCAGGGAGACCTGTGACATTGAAAATACTCCTCCTTCCCTCCCTTGGTCCCACTTTTCTTCTCAAATCTGGTTGAAGACTGATTGGAAACATAATATGGAAGGTGACTGAATTATTATGTTGTGTGCTGCCATGACAAAATGCCTGAGACTGGATAATGGGTAGAGGGTGAAACAGTTTTGAAGTAACATGCTAGAAAATGCCTGTGTTACCACAAATGGAGCATTAGGGTGATTCTGGTGTGTGCCCAGAAGAAGAGAAGAGCTATAAGGAAAGTCCGATTCTTCTTAGAGATTACTTAAGTGATTCTGAACAGAATGTTGGTAGAACTACATGCACAGCAAAGACTATTCTGATGAGGCCTCAGATGAAAATAAGGAATATCTTGTTGGAAATTGGGGAAAAGGCCATCCCTATTACAGAGTGGCAAAGAACTTGGCTGAATTATGTCTCTGTCTTTGGACTCTGTGGAAGGCAGAACTTCCACAAAGTTCTAAAGCAATGAACTAAGATATCTGGCAGAAGAAATCTCTAAGCAGCAAAGAGTTCAGGACGTTGTATGGTTTCTAATAACTGCTTATAGTAAAATTGGAGAAGAGAAACAATTTACAGCCAGAATTTATAATTAAAAGGGAAATAGAATGTAAAGATTCAAAAAATTGTCAGCCTGGCCACGTAAAGAATAAAAAAGTGTGTTTAGGAAAGAAAACCACAGATGTGGTCAAATAGTTATTTGGTAAGATTAGTATGGACGGAAGGAAGGCAAAGGCTACTCATCAAGACAATGGAAGAATGACACCCCCGCCAAGACATTTTAGAGATCTCGAGGTGGGGTTGGGGGAGGCTTCCACGCTCATCACAGGCTGAGAGTGCTAGGCCCTTGGGGACAGAATGGTTTCCAGGGAAGGGCCTAGGGCGCCCATGAGACCTGGGGGCTGCCCAGAGCTGCCTCAGGTCTCTGCTCCCTGCATTCCAGCACACTTCTCAGTCAGACAGACACTCGCTTGACACCAAACATGCCAGGAACTTGATCTTGGACTTCCCAGCCTCCAGAATTGTAAGAAATAAATTTCTTTTCTTTATTAATTACCCAGTTTGTGGTATTCTGTTAGAGCAGCACAAACAGAATGAGACAGGGACGTATGTCTGCTGTGTGCATTGCACACCGTGCAGATTCCTAATAAGTGTATCACCTTCCCCCGGGCTATGGACACACGCCCTCTCATCTTCCCAGCAGTCGACTGGTCCAGGCATCTATCCGGGTGATAGTTCCTAAGGCTACTCTTGTCAGCATCTTACCACACATCCCATACCTTTTCAAAGTGCCCCAACGCATACGTTTACATTCAAAGTGACTTCGCTTTGAGAAACTGATCCTGCTCTCGATAGAAACACCTTCACATACTCTCAAACTCTAACATTAGATACATCATCCATCTAACATAGCAGATTTGTATGTTCTTCTACAGGGGGAAAAAGATAGTACTAATCACGAGTTAGCTCTTCCCCCTCTTGATACAGGTTATATCTAGGGCCCTCCTCTTTCCTTCCCTGCTCAAATCTATCAGACATGAATCAAGACTTGAAATAAACATTTCTTTTACCCAACTGCAGTTTAATTCTCCCTGGCATTAACTTCTAAAAGTCTATACTAGAACACAAAGAACATATTTTTTTCCTTAGATTCTGATTTTTATTACTCCAGTCATCAGAGCTACCACCTGTTGAGTGCCTCTTACAGACCAAGCACTTCATGCTCTCACAACCCAGGAATATGATTAGTCCCAGACAGGTCAAGAGACCCAGCCAAGGTCCTACAGTAATAAGAGGCTGCCCTTAGAATCTAACTGAGGCCTGTATGACTCCAAGGCTTATACCAACATTGTTTATGTAACAAATTATTAAATATCAACAAATACAAATAATAATTATTAAAGAAGAAAACATTTTCCATTTTTAGAAGCTACATCACACAAGCACATCATAGATTCTGCCATGGAGTGGCCTGGTCAAGAGTCTCACAATTATCCCCACTCAGTAATGCAAAAGGCTCTCCCTTCTCCCGCTCACCTGCAGTAGAGTCGACATTCTCCCAGGCGGCTGCTCCCCCAAGCACATCATCCACTTCTTTCAGCTTTGGATACTTCCGATTTGTTACCTAACAAACAAAAACAAGCCTTCAGACTACACGTAAGTGAATGGTACAAACCTGGGACACCAAACCACAACTGCCGTCAAGTGTCTCCCAGACTTCCTTCCTGCCACAAAGAATGGAGGGGCACCAAATACAAACAAAGCTCCTGATCACACAGAGCAGCAAGCTCCACTGGAATTCAGAGGATCCATGACTGGGATGTCTCCCAAGCAGAAGAGAGAGATTCAGCTGTCACAGATCTCTGCACAGACTGGAGAGTCACGCCACTAATCCCAGCACTTTGGGAGGCCAAGGTATGAGGATTGCGTGAGGCCAGGGGTTGGAGACCAGCCTGAGCAACAAAGCAAGACCCTATCTCTACTAAATAATAAAAAAAGGCATGGTGGTGGCTCCTGTCATCCTAGCCACTCGAGAGGCTGATGCAGGATTGCCTGAGCCCAAGAGTTCGAGGTTGCAGTGAGCTATGATAGTACCACTGTACTCTAGCCTGGCTGACAAAGTGAGGCCCTGTCTAAAAAAAAAAAAAAACGCTAGAGAAAGCACCAGAGCAGGGGGAGGAAAAAAAAAAATCTTAGGTATGACTCTCTTCTTTTCCCATACCTCTAAGAAATCTGATTACCCAAGATGAAAAAAACAAATACAACTGAAGCCAACCAATACCATTTACCTAAGTATCCCAGCCACTTGCTCCCAGCAGACAGCTTTCAAAGCAGGTCCCACTTAGTCTTTCCCTAGTTTTAGCATCTGTCCCCGAAGTTTCAGGGTTACGTAAGAGTTCACGCTTCCCATAGTTTCAGACTCTAAACTCCCAAAACACAGCCATAGGTCTAGTATAACAGTATGCAAACATTAAGAATGAGGCAGCACCAATGTGCTCTAACTTCTAAGTAAAGGTATACTAAAAAGTAAAGATGCATTATCAAGGGAAAGTAACAAGTTATAGCACATTGTGCATCATTCGCTTACTGAACACCCACTATTCCAGGTTTCCTTCTAGGCATTCAGGCTAGAACATAGGAGGGGACAAAACAGAAAAACCTTGCCTCCAGAGAGCTTATGTCCTAGTATTAATCAACAAAGCAGTAAGTAAATTACGTAATGAGTCTAATGAAAAATTTAAACAGGGAAGGAGGATATATTGGAGGGAGGGGCTACAATTTAAAATACGATGATCACTGAAGTAAAGACAAGATCAACGAGTAAGGCGGCTATCTAGGCGAAGAGTGAACCGGGCAAAATAACGTCCAAACGCGCTGTTAGTGCCACGTGCACGATGGGAGATCCTTCAAGAGGCCGGTGTTACTGGGGCAAAAGAGCAAGAGGAGGAACGTCAGGACTTGCAATCAGAGAAACAAGCCGGGAGGTCACAGCCCGGTAGGCCCTGGCAGAACCCGGGCTTTTACTCTGCTGGGTGTCTGAGCCTGGGACGGCCTGTATCTGACCGGGCTTTGGCGGAGTCACTCCGGCCACTGTCTGACCACAGCGAAGGGAGCAGGCGTGGGGCGGGAAGCCCGAAGAGGAGGTTCCTGCGGCGCGGCCAGGGTGGCGGCGCCGGGGATGAGAACCGGCGGGATCCTGGGTGTACGCGAAGGCAGCGACCACAGGTCTGCGGCCGACAGGAGCGGGCGTGAGAGAAAGAGCGGACAGAGGCGGACGCCGGGGCTGCCGTCGGACGCAGCGGGAGGCCTGCGAGAGGCGCCGCGGCCCTGCGCCGGCCCCGGGCCCACCTTGCGAGTGATGTTGTGCACGTAGGGGCAGGTGTTGCAGGCGAAGCGGTGGCAGCGCTGCCCCTCCTCCACGATCAGCCCGTTCCCGCAGCCCGGGCAGAACAGCAGCATGGTCTCCAACTCCGCCCCGCAGGCTCCCGCTCCCGGCAGCTCCCGCGGCAGCTTGGAGCCTACGTGCCGCCCGCCTCCAACTCTCATTGGTCCTGGAAGCCGCCCCTCCCCTGAGCCCACCAATAGGCACGCCCATTTCGCGCTCCCAGTAGACCTTGCGGCAGGCCGTTTCGCACTTCTCATTGGTCATCGCAGCAGCCGGCCCCGGGCGCACCAAGGGCAAGGCTGCCTGGCTAGGACGGACCGCAGCTCCCGCGCGTGCGCGCTCCGCCTCCCCGGCGCGGGCTGGCGGTGCCCACTGAGCCCAGCCGGGCACTGGCTACCCTGGAGGAAGCGGAGGCCGCGGGTCGGCTCGAGACGCCGCAGGACGATGAGGACGAAGAGGAGGCGCTGCCGCACTCTGAGGCGGTGGACGTGTTCCAGGAAGGCCTCGCCATGGTGGTGCAGGACCCGCTGCTCTGCGATCTCCCGATCCAAGTGCGCGCGCAGGAGGGGCCGGCCTGGGGCTGCTGCGGGCGGGGGTCGGGCCAGGCCGGGGGCCCAGGGTGAAGCCTGCGAGGCATTCGCCTGGGGCGCGGAATTTAAAGGGGCACCAAAAAACTTACTAGTCAGGATAAATGACATTTTAATGTAATATTTCTAAAAGTCAAAGTTGACTCAAAAGCAGTCTAAGCAACGTCGAAAAGGTAAGCAAAATATTAAATTTTAAATGAAGACAAGATGAGTATTACTACTTTTTCCATTTGCCTCGAGCATCGATATGCTTTGGTGTGATACTGGTTTTATTAAATTTGTTTATGTTTTGCCCGTCATGTGGATGGTTAAAATTAACTTGTATTTCTTCACTGTTGTATTAAAGTTATTATTACCATTTCTGTTTTTTGGCGCCTTGGCAAATTTTGCACACCCACCTTACCCTAGTGCTGGGACCCTGGCCTAGATCCTGGTGCTCGGGGACTCTGGGGTGAACTGACAGTCAAGCCCAGTGCTTCCCTACCCAGATCATGGGCTGCTCCTCCTGTGCGTTCATTCCCCCTGCCTGTTTCTTTGCCCTGCTTTCCCCAGAGACTCCGTCAGCTTTGGATATTAAATAAAAATGTGGGTGGAACATGAGACTGGGGTGCTGAAGAAACCCTAATATACAGGCACGAGCCCCTTCACTTCCTTGCACTTCATAAAATGGAGCATCCCTTCTTGGCAGCTGTCAGCTTGTTTTCTTTGCTGTTGTTTGAGGTAGTTAAGAAAGCCAGGGTTCCTACTTGCACCCTTGGTCTTTTCTAGGTGACTTTGGAAGAGGTCAATTCCCAAATAGCACTAGAATATGGCCAAGCAATGACAGTCCGGGTGTGCAAGATGGATGGAGAAGTGATGCGTAAGTGCCACCCACCTCCCTTCAGGCCTGTGGTCCAAGCTGCACAGGGGCAAGATGTTAGGTCAGTGAGCACAGACTCACAGGCTGTGCCCAGGGGTGTTGGGACAACCACAAACCTGCCATCTGAGGACGTAGCTGTGGGTTCCCACTGTGGATCTTCTCCCCTCTTTGTCCGTGGTTGCAGCTGTGGTTGTAGTGCAGAATGCCACCGTCCTGGACTTGAAGAAGGCCATCCAGAGATATGTACAGCTCAAGCAGGAGCGCGAAGGGGGCATTCAGCACATCAGCTGGTAAGTGGAGCAGCAGCTCCCAGCTCCACCTGAGCACTTCACCACTGAAGTGACAAGCTCCCTGTTACAAGAGTTCAGACAGGGCAGGTGCTTCTGTGCTTGGGACTCCTGCCTCAGCTGTTCTTTCTAAACATCCTGGTTCTTTCATGTACATCACCCCACCCAAGCTGCTTGATGTCTTCACTTGGGGACGCCTTAGACCATTTCCAGTGTGTCCGGAAGGAGCCTCCCTAGTTACAGATGGTGCATCTGTCAGGGCTCCTGTCCCTCCTCACCTGCGTGCTGCCAGCCCTCACTCTCCTTCTGGATGAAGTGTCCTGTTAGCTGAGTCTTGGCACTGTGGCCTATTTTATTAGCAAAGAGTGTTTGGGCCCACTGCCCTATACAGCCCTTTGAGAACAGTGCCTCCTCACAGCTGCCTTAGGCGTGATGCGTACATTGTGTGGGAGAAAAGCCCAGATGGGGAGGACAGCTGCCCCGGGCCCAATAAGGCTGATGTCTCGAGTCCCTGTCATGCACAGCCACCCGGCTCGCCCTGTTCAGGGCATACAGCTTACCTGAGTCCCCTTCTTGCAGGTCCTACGTGTGGAGGACATACCATCTGACCTCTGCAGGAGAGAAGCTCACAGAGGACAGGAAGAAGCTCCGAGAGTAAGTACAGACCACGTCTTGAGCTGTAGGTGGACATCTAGTCTATTGCCCTCTAGTCCCCAATGCTCTGCCAGAGTGGGGCAGCCTCCTCCCAGGAGGTGATGCCCTCCTGCAAGGAGCTTCACTGGGGCTCTCCCCACGAGGAGAATGGCAGGCAGAGGTGCAGCTCGAGGGGCCCTGCCGTTTCTCACCAGCAGCAGCACAGGGCTGCACAGTGCCAGCAGGAAGGAAATGAGAGTGGGCATAGAGGTGAAAGGCTTCCTGCTGGTACAGTATGGCTCTGTGGGAGGATGGCCATTACCACTTGGCCTTCCCGGATGCCACACTCATCCCACCTGTTGTTGTTTCTTGGTCCCTCACAAGCCTCTGGTGGGGAGTCACAAATGTATACTTCTGTAGGTCAGACAGTTTACACCTTTCCTTCTCTTTCAGTTATGGTATCCGGAATCGGGATGAGGTTTCCTTCATCAAAAAGCTGAGGCAAAAGTAAACCTCCAGATAAGGACGACTCTATTCACTGGTGGTCGAGCTTTTTCCCAGGAGGATGGTGCCCTCGAGTCATGGTCCCTCTTTCACAGAAAGGATGGTGAGGTGGCCTCAGCCCAGCTGTGTCCACCTGGAGCTGTCAGCATGAACCCTGCAGCCCTCAGGACTAGGACTGGGTGCACCAGTGCTCCTTTCTTTCCTGTACGCTTGGCCTGAGCCTACCTCTCCCTGGGCCCAAATACCCTGATCACATGGCCAGTCCCACAGGGCTATGGGCCTGGCGCTGTGTACAGAATAAACCTGTTTGGTTCTTACTTGGAAAAGTCGAAAAGCCACGGTACCCTGAGTGGGAGGGACTGGGGCTGCCCCGTCACGGACGGGAGGTTAGAAGAGATAACTGTCGCAGTTGAGTCCTAAAGCCCAAGATGTCACACTTGAGACCTGTGGCGACACGGCCCCCCAAATCACATGATTCTGTTACCATGATCTCCACAGCAAGGAGGAAATAATAGCAGGGCAGCTATCTCTATTTACTTGTGGGGAAGCAGGGCCTACATCCTAGAGCCCACAGTGGGAACGAGCATGTAGCACACTGTGGGTAGGACCTCCAGCCTCAGCCCACTGGGTTCTCCTACACCAGTGCCTTCATTAGGCTCAGTGAGAAGGGAGGCAGCGTAGGGTGGAACTGGGACTGCTGGGGGTGAAGGGAGTACTTCCCAGTGAGGGGGTAGGGTATGTGATAGCACAGCCCTAAGGCCTTGCCCCAGCATTGGCTGCCAGCTACTCTAAGGAAGGCGGGGAGCAAGGTGCGCCTACCTGGCTGAGGGTCTTCACTGGGAAGCCAAAGAGCCTATGACTGTATCTGACACTTAGTTGCATGTCCTGGGGAATTGTGAGTCGGAGGCCAGGGGCCTGCAGGACCTCCCTCTGCAGCCCCTAGCCAGAAACCAGGTGAAAGGAGGAAGAAGCCCTGGTCAAGTTAGTGGCAGCTAAAACGCTCCCAGTCCATTTATTGGCCACATGAGGTGGTCGTCAAGAGGCTAGTTAGAAGGTTATCACAGGAAGTAGTGTAATAAATGCCCGGCAGTATGAAGGGTTCAACAGACGTGAATAAGGCACAACAGGTCTGTGTTCAGGAAACAGGTGAGTCCCATAGGCCTGTGAAGCTAAGGATGGTTGCGTCCGTCTGGCTCTGGCCTGAAGCGTGTGGCTACCAGGGCTGGCAGCCAGCTCAGTGGAGCTGAGCATCCAGTTCATACTTCTCACAGAACTTGTCGGTGAAGGGGATGCAGGTCAGGAATTCACACCACTCACAGCGGACAGGATAGAAGTAGAAGAGGACCACCAGGCCAGCTAGGAGGCCCAGGAAGACCACCTGAAAGATGATGATCTGGCAGCGCTTGCGGTACAGGTCGAACTTGCCAAAGCTGATGTAGGGCAGGAAGGCAAAGGAGAGGAAGAGGCCACTGATGAAGCCCGAGATGTGGGCAAAGTTGTCAATCCAGGGCAGCAGCCCAAAGGTGAAGAGGAAGAGCACCACAGCAAGCAGCTTGAAGAAGGCACGCCAGGGCCGCGCCAGGATCTGCCAGCTTTGGAAGAGCTCCACAAAGAGGCAGGCCAGGATGCCAAACTGCGAGCCGGCAGGGCCCACCTGGGAGGCAGTGGGGGTGGCTGTGAGCCAGTGGGGCTGAGTGGGCCCCCCTGGACCCAGGGCCTCATCTTTCCATCCCACCTCCCGTGGCCAAGAGCGCATCAGGACTGAGGAGCCAGATGCAGATGCTCCCAGGCTGGGCGCTGTAAAGACCCAAACTCAGTGCTTGACATGGACTGAGTCCACACCAGACCACAGGTACACACAGGAGGGTCCCCACCCTGAGGGGCAGCCTTACCTCTGCCCGGTATGGCAAGAAGATGGCACTGGCCAGGTTGCCAGTGACACCGCTCAGCAGGTAGATGATGGCTATGCGGTGCCAGCCTGCCAGCTTCTCCAGGTCCCGCAGGACGGTCATCTGGAAGCAGACGGACACCAGGCAGTGCAGGACCCTGTAGGGGGTGGCAGCAGGGAGGCACTCAGCAGGGAAAGGGACCTCTCTGCCACTCCCAGCCAGCCACTCCTGGGGTCCCTGAGACCACACCACCCAGCCCAGTGTCACTTGCCCGGCGTGCAGAAAGAGGGACAGCCACAGGCGGTAGAACTGGTCAGGCACCTCAGGGTTGAGGAAAGGCAGGAGCCCACACACGTCATCCATGCAGTGCACCTGTGCAGAGTGGCCCGTCAGGACCCACAGTGGCTGGGGCGAGGGGAAGCACACTCGCCCTGGAGACCTACCTGAGAGCAGAGTGTGGCCTCCTCATGGAAGTAGCCCCTCATGAAGTCACAGTATTCACGGGAGGTGATCTCGCACCTGGAAGGTCAGGCTAGGGTTTGGAGGGGGCCGCTGTGCAGAGGAGGACTGCTGGGGTCCAGAGGCAGCTTCCAGCCCCACCCACCCGCCTTTGTTGGCCCTGAATAAGTCCAGACCCTTTCTCACCCCACACTCCTTGATGTATTGGGTTATTTCGGGACTCGGTGAGGGAGAAGGGCACAGCCCTAGGGCAAGGCTCTGAGACTGGAGACCAGCTGCACACTCACACAGGCACACCTACCTGCCCTTGGTGCCGATGCAGCAGGGCCGGCCTGTTATGACACAGTCCATGTGGGGGTGGTTGGTGTGGTTCCCAGCGCTGTTTTTGGTGCAGATCTGGGTCACAAATGGGGGTGAGATGGGTCAGGACCTCCAACCCTCCACCCCCACCCTGTTTGGGGTTGAAGCAAAGATGGACAAGCTCATGAGGTAGAAATCAGGCCTGCCTTGACTTCGGACAGGCCGCCACACCCTGAGCCTCAGCTGGGCCATCTGTCAAACTTGAATAATATCACTGGACCTTCGAAGTCTTCGGCTAGCTCTCTTACTCTGACTACTTGCTTAGAGGGGCAGGACAGACTGTGCAAAGGCCAGGGGCACAGCATCTGAAAATGTGTGGGTCTCTGGCATTACTAATGGGTGGGTGTGGCCTCCTCCACCACCTGACAAGGGTGACTCACCAACAACCCCTACCCCAGCTCACCGGCCACTTGGTGATGTCTTCTGGCCACTCATGGGGGTCTTCGGATGAGGGTTCATCACACACCCTGCATGAGCCAAGTGTGTGGTCAGACCCTGCTTCAAGCCCCTAGCATTGGTACCCTTCCACCCAACTCAACACCAAGGGGAGCATCCCTCCATCTCACCCCCCAGGAAGGCGTGGACAAAAGCAGGTAGGACAGCGGCCAGCAGGACTGACCTGGGGTCCTGGTGGCAGACGGAGCCAAACTGCCTCTTGTGGCCTGCAAGGTCTGGGGCACTGGGATGGATGGGCCACTTCACCCACACTGCCAGGGTGGACTGTGGAGGGGACGCAGGGTCAGCCCCTGGTCAGAGACCACCCCTTACCTAGTTCACTCAGGGCAATGTGGTGACTCAGGGAGTCAGGGGTCAAAGGCAGAACCACTGAAATCCTCCCTCTGACTCTACAGCTCAGCCTCTATGAATTTATACTCTCAAAATGCACACGCATGTTGGTAGAGATTCCGTTACAAGGCATTCAGCAGCATAATTACTATTAACTTAAAATTAGAAACGACCTCTGTGTCCTAAATCAGGGAACTGGTATAAACTATGGCACCTGCATATAAGATGATGTGATAAAAGTTTGGATGAATCTTTTTAAAAGCTATTTAGTGGGAAAAAGAGGCAATACCAGTTATGCAAACTTTAAGATACATGCACACAAACAAGACATATTCAGTGAGTCCACCCAAATCAAAAGACCAAATCAAAAAATCAAACGATCATCTATGGGGCAAGGAGACGGAGCTGGGGGAAGATGGGATAAGAACGAATGAGACGGAAAGGCCTTGCGCATAGGGACGGCTTGATGTGCCAAGGATGAAGGTAAAGGATCGCTCAACTGGATTGATCTGAAGGCTGAACACACACGGTACGGACAAGGGTGGGGGTCGGGGCAGGGACACGCACCGAGCACTCCTCCTCCGACGTCTGCACGCAGCCCGACCTGTCGTTGCGCACGCAGCAGGCCGAGTGCTTTTCGCGCTCGCGCGCCGCGTGGATGAAGCTGTGCACCTGCGGATCCTGGCGCATGCAGGGCGAGAACTTGGCGCCCAGATGAATGAGGGCCTCCTGTGGGTGAAGGGGTCCGTGCAGCTGTGGCCCCAGGCCCCCTGCCCGCCGGCGCCTCCAGGCTCCGCCCCCAGCCCCGCCCTCACCGAGCTGGGCCCGATCCAGAAGTTCTCCTGCTGCACGTACTTGACGTTCTCGTAGACCCCGCGGTTCCGCAGCACCTAGGAAGTTGGGGAGCGGCATCAGACAGGCCAACGTGGCCCCTCTTCTCCCTGACCGGGGTAGGAGGGGGTCCAAGCCCAGACTCCAGTCATCTGGGCCCGGGGAGGGCACAGGGGCTCACCGAGTCCACCGTCTCGTGCTGCGAGAAGCCCACAGGCGCGATGCCATAGATGCACACGGCTAGAATGGTGACGAGCGAGTGCACGAAGGTGAGCCAGTAGGTGAAGAAGGGCCTGCGAGGCGGAGCATCAGCAGGGGCCGCATCCCCAACCCACAGCCCCCACCCTCTCCGGAGAGCCTCCATCCCGCCCCAGAGGATTGCCAGCCCGGGCTAATCCCTACCACACACCCCACCTGTGGTCATCCATGTCCTCAATCTGGCGCTTGACGTAGCTGTCGATGCGCTTGCGGTAGGTGCGGTTGGTGAGCCGTCCCACCATGCCCAGCCCATATGGCCGCTTCTCCCTGGCGAAAAGCTTGCGCACCGGCACCGCGATGCGCTGGCCCCGTCGCGGCCCGGTGGTGCTCACCACCTCCTGCCGAAGCCGCACCTTGGGTTGTGGGGCTGCCGCGCCCTCCTTCTGCTTCCGCCAGCCTCGCTCCAGCGGCCTGGAAGGAGCCAGCGCATTTACCTCCCTCCCCAGCCCCCTAACCTGCTACCATTCCGTTCCTCACCGCAGCCTCTGGGAACCGGGGTACCCGTCTGTCTCCATCCCGCCCGGGACTAGTGGTGAAGATGCTGGGTGAGTCGTTCAGCATCAGCCTCCTCCTTACCAGTAAAAGAGCAACCCTGCACCCCTCTGGGGATGGCAGGGAGGAGGGAACCAGGATGCACCAGAGGTTCTGTGCTTCGGCAAGTATTAACTATGTCACCAGCTGCTCCCTGCTGGATTCTGTCCAGCCCCTGGGCCCTGGGGCTGCTGTCCCATTCCATA